ATTTACAATCTTAAGTAATTTCCACCAAAACTCCATTTCCATGGAGCACACTTTGGCTTCAATTTCCCATTCACTTGGTAATGATTTTGAGCAAACCAAATATACCACGTGAATCATAACGCGGCATAGAACGCGTTACCACTTTGACCCGGGTAAATCAACACTTGGGGCCCACCTAAAAAATAGACCAAACTTGAGAAAAAATTCTAGTTTTACCCAGAATTTTTCTACCATTTCCAACAAATAATATTAAGCGAGTCCTATGTATAGATCACACATATACGTTTTGTGTCGTAATTGACACATCTGTTAATACACTAATTAGTGTTTTTAGTATTACTGAAGTAATATACAGAGTATTTGGTGAGTTTTTTTTTGTCTAAACTTGACTTTTCAACTTATTTCTTAATTCTAAATTGTTTCAAAAAGTTGTATTTTAAACCACAACTGTTTTTTGACACTTTTTGTAATTTATATTAGGTCTTTTCCTTTAGTTGTTCTTGTAATCTATTTTTTATTTTAATATATTACCTATTTTTCTGATTCTCAATAAATAAACAAAATACAGCTTCATAGCTGTGTATCAGTATTTAGAAAACACCACTACAATAAATTTTATAATAAATTAATTGAAGTTGTGTTCCAATTTTAAAAATAATAAAGGGTCTGTTTAGTGAAATCTATTATAAGTTAAAAGTTAATAATTAAAAAGTTTAGTATCAAAAACACTTCTCCCCGGCTGGCAAATAATTAGTTTTTTTAATTTATTTAAGCTATGTTCACCTAATAAATAGAAGTTCTATTAAACAGTCTCACACATACTTTCAGAATTAAAAAAAAAAAATAAATTATAAGTAACTTAGATAAACTACACCAAACAATTCAATCAAATTTAAAACAAATTAGTCCATGTTTGAAAAAAGAATATTTTAGCCAAAAAATTCACTATAAGACTCTGTTTGGCAACATTATTTTTTAGTCTAAAAGTTAAAAAGTTATTAAAAAAATTAAAAAGTCAATAACTTATATTAAAATGTAAAAAATTCCACTTTCTCTACATTTTTTGCACATCTTTTTGTAAAAAATTAAAAAATCATCCTAAACATATTATTTTTTTCCATCCTATTTTAACTTAAAAGTTAAAAAATTATTAAAAAAATCTATTCCCAAACAAGATCTTAATTATCAATTTTCTCTCTGCTTTTTATATATTTTTTTTCGGTAAATTTAAAAGCCACTTAGGACTACCAATCTACCCCGCCACACATAGCCTAGAGAAAGTGCTACACTCAGCCTTTTAATCAAAAAACCATCAAGGGTTTTTCAGAAATTGACTTTTTTTTTATAAAAATATGAGTAAAATTTTTTTAAAAATAAAATAACTTTTTGTATTACTTTTTTAACTGAGGCCTAGTTTGACATTTTTAAAATAATTTAAAAAGTCAAAAAATTATAAAAAGAAAAAGTTAAAAAATTATCACTACTCACAAAAAAAATAATAATAATAATTTTACATAAAAAATAATAAAACTCAATCTGACATCCCACAGGGGAAGCTGATTTTTTAATTTTAAATTGTACAGGTGGTGTGCACAAAAAGACCATCACGGGTCTCCTTTTTGATAATCTGAACCGTTTAATGTGTAGAACTCGTTGAGTATTATATGCCACAAGAAAACACGTTGATCGAATATCGCTAACTATATGATCAAATCAGTTTTGTATAAAAAAAATGGTTGGTGTTATAGTTAACAGTTGAAAAATAACTAATCCGATTAGATAGCTATCGATATCCGACCAACGTGATTTTTTATAAGGACATAGTCTTCGATGAGTTCTACACATTGAACGGTTTTGATTAGCAAAAAGGGACCCGTGGTGGGCCCCCACAAGCCGAACATCATAGTCCAATGCAATGTCCGCAAATGAGGCAGCCATTTCTTATGTCAAATGCCTCTGCCCAAGACGATTGGCCGTACTGCTACTCTCCCTACCTTCTCCTATATATTAATTTATACAATTTTTAATATACGTTTTTTCGTAAAAAATTAAAAAATTAATTCAAACAATCATATTTTTTTTCCTCAACTTTTTAATCCAAAAAGACAAAAAGCATACTTATTTAAAACACCTCAAATAATCCCTAAAACCTTTTCTTTCTAACGCCTTAATATTCCATCCTAGAAACAATATGACAAAGTGAATTAGGCTCCGTTTAGGAAGAAAAAAGCTAGGTTTTTTTTGGCTAAAATAGTCACAAAAAACAAATAAGTTTTTTAGCCTAATAAGACAAAAATATCACATCCAACCCGTAATCATTACATTCTTTCTCCCATAAAAAATCCAAAAAAGTCAAAAAGACCAAAAGCCCTTCCCAAACGAGACTTTTTAGCCCCAGGTTAACGTTTAGGAAGAAAAAAGCTAGGCTTTTTTTTGCTAAAATAGCCACAAAAAACAAAATATCAAATCCAACCCATAATCATTACAATCCTCTCTCACAAAAAAAGTGAAAAAAGTCAAAAAGTCCTTCCCAAACTAAGCTAAAATAGCCCAAGCTAAAAAAATCAAAAAGCCAACTCACTTCCCAAACTAAGCTAAAATAACCTAACCTAAAAAAACCAAAAAGTCAACCCACTTCTCAAACGGAAGCTTATATAATTATGACCACTAACTCCAAAAATATCTATCAATTTCTCATTCTCCAAAACTGTTTAGTAGCAGAAGGCCAGAACCATCCCAAGATCTCCTGACCCAAAGAGCAATGGAGGGTCACCCAAAGCTGCAACAAATTATTTATGTGCTCCTAGATTTGGGGTTTTTCTCAGCATCCAAACAGAACCAAGCAAGGAAGAATTGAAAACAGAGAGATGGCTTTAGGGGCTGCAATCCATAGAAAATGATGGAACTGTTTTCTCGTAAAAAGGTAAACACAGTGGGGACCATCTTGACCTCTGGCCCACTTCAAATGTATGCATTTGTCACCAATGGATTATACAAATCCTCCAATAGCTGGTTCAGATACTTTTTGAGGGGACCCAAGTAATTATTTAATAATTCAGGACATTTATGTAATATTTTAAATTAATTACTTAACAGAAAATTTTATCGTGATTGTCGACTCACTTTTAAAAGGTAAAAAATAATTCACCTAGTTTCTCATTTGCTAAAATATTATGCAGTAGATAATATCAGATGATATTCCGAGAATATTTGATAATTTTTCCTTTCATTGTGCTCTCAATTACCAATGTTAAATACATAGAATTATAACATAGAAAATGATATAGAAAATAGGGTATGGACCGTCTCCAATTCAGATCTGATAGAGTCCAATCTAATTCGGCTTATTAGGCTCATTTTTGAACCCCTTTTTGATAATTCAAACTTTTCACACTTTAGGATTTTTTGAGTACATGATCTCTGTAAAAAAATCACGTCGATTAGATAACGGATATTATATATTCGGATAATTTTTGTCTGAAAAAGAATGGATAGTCAAAAAATTAATGGTTCATAAAAAAGTGATCCGAATACATAGTATCCGTTATCTGATCGACGTAATTTTTTACAGGAATAATGTGCTTAACAAACCCTAAAATATGAATAGTTCAGATTATCAAAAAAGACCTCAAAAATAAGCCCTATGGACCGGACTGGACCCTCTAATCCAAATGGTGGACTAGAGGCAAGCCATTGCCTAGAAAATAAATTATGTGATTTGAGATTTATTTTGAAGTATAATCCACATCACATTTTCGCTATATTTTCTGTGTACTTTTGTGCCTTAACTATGTGCACTTTGGCATTTTCTTGGAGATTCAATGTATATAAGATAGTGAAGCAAGAACAATGGGTCCAACAAAAATTTAATAGCACTTACACATGCACAGTGATTCCTTGCATATGTATATAGAAAACACTTTGATTCTTTCAAAATCTCTTTATATCATTTTTCCAACTAGCTCTCAAGACAGCATTTCAACCTCGCCCATATAAGTTTCTAACTTATGCAATCAATGGTCTTCATTAAATGAGGCTATCCATCTCGGCTATTTTAGTAGGTTATTTTAATTTTTAATTATTTTAATAAATTAAAATAGTTATATTTAAAAGAAAAAAATTATTTTTTTTTGTAATTATTATAATATTTGTGAGAAAAAAAAGTGAAATAATTATAAATTTAATGTAATATTTTATCTTATTAACTATTTTCCTCTATTTTATCTTTTATTACTATTTTAACCAAAAAAATTCTTTCCAAACAAGTATGATTCATAATAGTACACTAATGTAGCTCATGATGGGTCAATGTCAAATTAAATGTAGAAGGCAACAGAGTAGGAGGGGAGCGCTTTTATTTGCACACCAAAAAATTTCTTAATTCCCATTATTTTTTTAGGTTTAAATATCAACTTTCGAACAAAAATCAAATGTTCAGATAAACCCATCTAAACAATTGATATTCAAATACCAAAATGGTGTGAACTGAAAATATTTGCAGTATGTGAATAGAATTATTCCAGAGTCTTCCTATTTGCATAGCACATGACACCGGGTTAGTTTGGAATGTGTGAATTTTTAACTTTTTAACTATTTTAACCTAAGCTAAAATGAACCTGAGCTAAAATGCCTCGCTTGAGATGGACTTTTTAACTTTTTTAAAAAAAAAAATACAATGATTATGAGTTGAATGTAACATTTTGTCTTATTAATTTTTTAATCTATTTTGTTATTTTGTGACTATTTTAATCCAAAATTGAGATGCAAAACAAAGGCTTAGATCACATTGTTTTTCCATTCACATGTAGTTGATATCTAAGCCATTAAGTTTCGTCAGTTGCTGCAATCCAAACCATTGATTTTTATTTAGTAGTTGATATCCAAACGGAGAATATAGGGTGAACTGACAAAAAAAAAAAAAAAACCGTAGCATGCAAATAAAAACTCCCCAGAATCGAGGGGTTAGGCTAAAGAAACACTTCTCAACATTTGGAGTAAAATTATGTAAATTTGACCTTTCTCATATCACACAATAACAGGAGACATGAGACTCATGCATTGAGCTGAGCTGCCCTTTCAATCAAAATTGAGTGCAAAAGGATAAGAAAACAGAGTAGAATTGACAAAAGGCCAACCAAGCAAGAAAAAAAAATTCTTTTTACCCCAAAAAGATTAGAGGACCCCACAAAGCCCATGGAATGACCAAAAATTATTGGGATGTATTGGCCCCACCACGTTTTTCTTTGCCAAACAGCTAGCAAAATAAAGAAAGGACATCTCTTCCTATCATCAAACAACACACACACATATTCATCATCCATTTAGAAACTTAGCTAGAACTATAACTACTAGTTTTTAGATACCCTTGTGTTCCTGACTCCCTCTTGTTTGGCCGAGCACATTCCATTCATTTACTTCCTGCAATATAAATTCTCTGTGCAAACTTTGGCAAAAGAATATGAGGGTATGACATGAGCTCAAGCTTTCATGGGGATGCCGATGAGTGGGACCCGGTTGGGCTCTGGTCATTAGGGAAACCAAAATCCCGAAACAAACCCTGAATGAATACATAGAAAACCAGAGTGAAAAATGGTGGTTAGATTAGGTCTATGCTGTGATATGCAACATTGGGGGGCTTTAGTGGTTACGTATATGGAGACATACCATGGTGTCGTTGATTGCGTAAGCCACGCAGTAGTGCTCCTGCAAAAAGTTGGCATTTTCAGACAATAAATGACATCGCCAAAGTACACAAGAAAATTTCTGATGAACTCAGTTAAAGCATGCGATCAAGAAATTAGACTAACCTAATAATACATAGCAAATTTGTGAAGTATTGACCTTATTGTACTTGCCAAATAATAAAAAATATATAAAAATATAAATCAAATGCTTCCAATGTTAGCAGCCCCCTCTAGTCTCTAATCATCTCTAACCTCATTAATAAAAGATTTTCAATTTTTCATAATTTTGTTGTATTATTGTTTTCCGTTCTAAAGTAAGTTGAATTCAACTTCACAGCATGCCACAAGAAGGATAGAAGTTTGTTCCAACAAAAGAATATACCATGCCTGTGAGGTCACAGATACCTTCCTAAATTAGGAGGACCAATGCATTTCAGAAAAACCAGCAAGTTAACCCCAATTGGTCAACCCATACAAGCTGGCAATTTTCACTACCTTTCTGAGTTCAGTTGAGAAAATTACAAAAATGGGCAATCATCTTACGGATTTATGGATTTGGCATCATAATTGTATAGCGTTCAATTTAATATAATATTTTACATTTAGATATCAAGAATAGATTTGAGAGCCTTATATTGATGGATTTCATATATAGCTTGGAGAAATTAATTATTTGAAATCTTTCCAATTTCCAGAAATGATTCTACTTGTACAAGGATGTTAAAGACACATCACATACATCTGTCTTCAATAACTAATCCTCCTATAATCTTTATAAAATTCAACCTCAAATCTCTTCTTCTTTTTTTCTTTTTCTTCTTTTTTTCTTTTTTTCCTGTTTTTGAGCAGCAACAAAACTAAATATATTAACAAATCTCTTCATTTGAAATCCACTCATCCAAAAGGAGCCCCGTATTTATTTATCATGTTATGCGGAGCCACTTCACTATGAATCGAACTTTCATGTTGCTGGTGACAGCTATTGTCATGTGACCAGGGGAGGGGACCATGTGATCTAACCCCCACCACCAGCTTCCACAGACAACATGAACAATTCAAGTCTAGTGACTCAAATCAAGAAAATAGCTCCCCAAGAGGTTTTTACAACCCTAAAATAGTTAATAAAAACATCATACAGGTCCAACCTGAAGTCTAGTGCTTCACCAATCAACCTACATCTGAGTTAAGTTTTTGGGTGTTGTACTAATTAAATGCCTTATCTAACCAAGAAACATCAAGATACTCCTTTTTTATTAACTTTTAGCACAGACATGAGGAACTACTTGCCTGCATCATGTGCCACTCTTCAAATTCATCAAACAATTCCAACCGTTCAATCCTAATCAACAAGAAAATCACAGATAAGAATCCTACACGGAATGTTTCAGAAAATATGTTAAGCTTCCCAATGAAAATTATAGAGATACAATAAAATAAATAAGCAAAAGGATACACACAAAAATTAGAAAAAGAATCACCTCTAAAAAAATAAATAAGCAAAAGGGTACACAAAAAAATTAGAAAAAGAATCACCTCTAAAACCCTAAAAAGGTACAGTTTCATTTTATCACAACCACAGAATCTAGATAAAGTAAAAATATCTTAAAGAGAGTTCTCCTTTTCAGCAAAGGCCATGATGGACTATTATGCATGCATTTATACTTATGTATATTGATGCCTATGCATGGTGTTACATAATTCGTAAAATATATGAGACACACGTTCTTGAAAGTGAAAATTACATGTGCAGATGTGTGTACTATGATGCCTTTAATTTGTGTTTGCCCTCAACCACATGTAACTATAGAAAAGCTGTCCAGCTTATAAGAAGATGATTTTTTTAACACCATTGCCAAACTTGGTCTTTTTATAATTGTAACACAGATGGCAGAAAAAGAGAGAACTTAACAGGGATGAGTCAGTCAAGAAAGATGAGAAATCATGACAGCGCAATAATGCAGCAGAGCCATTGATCAGGTTTAAATCAGGCAACTAATGGACTGCAATTTTGCAGAAGACTTTCCTCCAGTACGATTAATACACGGCCCAATTATCACATATTATAAGTAGTGTAGTGAGAACTATACTGAATTAGCAGGTTCAATGCAAAACCAAATATTATTACACGGTAAATTTGTTGAACTGGTCTTAGCATAAGTGATGTTGCTGACATTTTATCACACACGGTAAATTAGAGATTTCACTACAGAATAATAACTCAAAACAAAACTAAAAAACATCAAAGGAAAACAGCAAATCAAGTAAAAGGCTAGTGATGGTGATGCATGCATAAGCAATTAAAAAAAGATTGCATGTTATCACACACAAGTTATGCTAATAAGATAACTGTTATAAAACACACAAGGAACGTTTGGCATGTCAAATCTAGAATAATTTAGGGGGACCAACATTATATTTATCTTCAAAAGGAAATATGAGAAAATTTCAATTCATAAGATATTCAAAATAAGGCCTCGTTTGACAACTCAATATTTTAGCCTAAAAGTCACTAAAAAAATCAACAAGCCAACAACCTATACCAAAAAGTCAAAAGATTCTTTTTTCTCTCTACTTTTTGCATATCTTTTTTTAAAAAATCAAAAAGTCATCCCTAACATATTAATTTTTTTTACCTCATATTTTAGTCAAAAAACTAAAAAGTTACTAAAATAGTATATTCCCAAACAAAGCCTAAAATTACGCATAAGAAACTATGTTACATGGAATTGATTAAGCATGTCGGCTGCAGTTGTGTATCTGAGAGTGCCACCATATGGCCCCCAAACTTTGAAATACGGAGATGGTTGCGTAGCTAAGTTACCATGTTTATAACCTTATGTTTTTATCAAAATGATGGCTCTATCCAGCATATTGTGATCAATCCAAATACTCTGTTGATTTTGAAATATTCATGCAACAAAGAAACTAAAAAATGGAAAAAGAAAAAAGAAAAATGTTTTAAGGAAAATATTAGATTCGTTGCTGGGATCCAAATTAAATAGCAAGAAATAAATACAGCTATTTTCTAGCATCTAATGTTTTCTCATCAGTGTACACCTACAATCAAGCCAAAAACCCAGCGCCTTCTTGTTAGGTTCGAAGGGTTTAGAGACAACAAGAGAGCCAAAACATTGTGGTCTAGTATTGTTTTTGCTATCTTTTGGACTATCTGGTCAGAGAGAAATGCTTTGATGGCAAGGAATCAGATGCAGAGGCTTTGCTGGATAGGGCGGGATATTTGGCTTTGTTTTGGGCATTTGTGTCTCCTCCTTTTAAAGGAGTTCCTTTTTTCTTGATTTCTAGGGATTGGGCTGCTGTTTTCCATCCCTAGTGCTAGGAGTTTCGTGCTATCTGCTTTTTGTTTTGACTTTTTGACTTTTCTTTGTTTGAGGAATTCTTGTCCTCTTTCATTCTTCTTGTTTTTTAATAAAATTCTTTGCTGATGCTTGAAAAAAAAAACAAAAAGAGGAGATACCACTCAAGCTGACAGGTTTCGGTGGTGCATAGTGTCTAATAACACTAAAAGCAAAAGTTGACTTTCTCAAGACTTTAAGGAACATTTTCTTTACCTGCGTCTTTCTTTAGCATCAATGAAATTAGTATAAATTCTCAGCATGTCCCAGGCAGCAGCCCTCTGAAACTCCACATAATGGGATAAAATTAGTATTAGCAGATTATGAAAACAAGAATAATCTAGTGTCAATGTATAAACACAGAAAAGCGGGGAAATCATTCAGAGGGGCCTAGAAGAAAGCTTCAAAATTAACATAGAAGTGCCTCAAAGCTAAAAATATAGACATTTTTCTACAAGCAAAGCCAAAATATAATATACACACATATATACAAGAAATCTTTAATTTATCTTCTGAGGATATCCTAACCATCCCAAAAACTATATCAACATGGAACATCAGGCACCCATCAATGGTATCACATCAACTACAATTATTAGTATATATCTACTTTCAGGCCCTCCTAGGCTCCCAATCTAAGTTGATGAGTCTATTAATTCATAGCATAATTCTCCTCTGCAGATTAAATGGTGTATTTATCCAAATTGTCAAGATAATGATAGATAATATGGAAACTAATAATCCCACTGTTTGGAGGATACCTGCCATCCCTGGTCAAGAAAAAGATTTTCTTTCGCAAGTAATGTTGGTGTGGCATTAATACCCAAGAGATCACAGCCTCGACTCTGAAACAAAACCAAGGGCATTAGAATCTCCCACATAAAAGAACTTCATGGATTAAAATAAGTTGCATGAAACTGCTCATCTTTATCTAAGAATTAACTAGTACAAACAAATAGCATAGTCAAGACTATCAGGCAACACCTTGCAACTAGGCCGCCTTAGGCGAGGCATGGCCACAAAATGGTATAAAAGATGTTCACGATTCTAATTCTATAAATTTTTACATATTTGCACCACATTGGTAGAAGTAAAATTGAAGTGCCAAGAAGCACGGTTTGTATTAGGTATAAAACTGTGATTTTCTTACATCCAAAAAAAAGAAACAGACCTAACATATATCACAAAAAGGGGCAAATAATAATAAAATAAAAAACAAGATACTACTAGTTCGATGTCATTCCTTTGGTTGAACACACAAAATATTCACGGTAGTAGTAGTGGTAGGATGGAGGTGATGGTGGTGGTGGTTGTACTTGAATGGCAGCGTAACACAAGCACACAAAGGTGATGTTGTGGCATAGGTGGCAGAGTTAATGGTAGGGTGGTGATGGTGGTAGTGATTATAGTAGTGGTGGTAGCAGTGGTGGCGGCAACAACAATAGTGGGTGGTGATAGTTAATTTGTAGTTTAACTAAGAAGTTTGCAGTTTAAATTTTTTGGCTATTTTCAAAAGATACATGAATTTTTAACTGATATGAATTGTGATATCAAATAGATTTAATTTACTTTCACTTAATACAGTCAATTCAAATGCTGAATTGGGTTATAGAGTTTATCTCATTCCTACTGGGAGTCCATGATTAGCAGTAATCTTGAGTCTATTGAAGCTAAGCTTCTATTGGGATTAAGTAAGTGTTGGTTATAAAAGAGGCACCCTCATGGGTCTAAGGTATACTTTTTGTATTCTGAATAGTGAGTTAAACACTTTTGCTATCTTTGAGAGATAACTGACTTGATCGTCGGAGTAACCCCGGGTGGACGAACCACCCCGGAATCTCTTCTTTTTGTGACAGGTCGTTCGGACTTAATCTATTTTGCCAGTATTCTCTAGCTGAATGCTTGATTGGCAGTGCGGTCGGAAATTGACACACAATTCTGTGGGGACATGATTTTTGAATGACAACACGTGACCGAGGTGTCACCGAAGTGCCAGTCGAGGTGCCACGTGTCCTGGTCATGACGCCGAGATAATCTCGACTAGACCGAGGTTATCTGCGAAGAAACCGGAGTCCGGGATAAGCGGATGAGGGACAAGAGTCCTAGAATGGGAGAGGACTTCAGTTTGGATAAAAATAAGACTCTTAGAGAGTTTATGTCATTCCTACTGGGAGTCCATGATTAGCGGTAATCTTGAGTCCATTGAAGCTAGGCTTCTATTGGGATTAGGTAAGTGTTAGCTATAAAAGAGGCACCCCCATGGGTTTAAGGTATGCTTTTTGTATTCTGAATAGTGAGTTAAGCATTTTTGCTATCTTTGAGAGATAACTGACTTGATCGTCGGAGTGACCCGGGTTATCAAACACCCCCTTACTTAAGGGATCAATCAACCTACTAAAGAGTTAAGTACAGATTAAAAGAGAGGCTGTAATGGGAAATGAAAATGAATACGTTGGGATTTTTGTAGTTTTTCCTTAATTTGGGGCTTTCAGAAGGAAACCAACCCAAAATCTTTGGACCAAAAAGACTTCTTCATTGCTGTAAGAGCCATAGGCTTAGTTTTAGGCATCCAAAACCTATTATACTTGTCTAACCATTTGATGGAAGCTGCATCAGTTTCATTCCTTTACCTCTATCTTAATTTATTCCAAACAATAAAAGAAAAGGATAAGATGATTCATACATATCTGCATCCAAAGAATACAGCGGAGGTATTAAACTTACTGATAAAAATGACAGGACAGTAAAAAAGACACAATTACCGGCTAATTCAAAAAAACAACCCCTACCCAACAGAAACAGATTCTGTATTACCTCCAAATTTCTGATCATTTGCTGCCCAAAAGCATCATCTGGATGAATCTGTTGAGGAACCAAAATAAAAAGTAAACAAAGAACTGAATTATGAGATCTAAAACCAGATAAGCCAGGAGCACATATGGCAAGAACTGACACCAACAAATAAGTAAATGGAGGATAAAAGAAAGAAAGAAAGAAAGAAAGAGAACAGAAATGAAAAGTTCAAAATCTGTGTAACCTGTTCATATAAGAAAAATATTGCTGTAGAAAATGTTTTGGAAGCCCAACCGACTATAGCACGGCTTGAATCCGGATCTAAGTATATCAAAACGCATTCTGCAATTATAAATGTTGGCAAGCTGATAACAACATCAGAATGAAGCAGCTTAATCATTTCTTCAGCATGAAAGCAGATCAGTGAAATTACGATATTCTATCAAACTATTAAGTTGAAGAAGCAAAAAGATGTATAGGCAGGTTACTATCTTATTATGACAACAATATCAACACTATATATAATACAATGAGACAATTATAAATAAGCAATGGATGACAAATGAAGCTAAAAAGAATTTTTTTAAAATGATAAATTACAAATATTACCTAATCATGAACGAGAGGCATATAATTTTTCAGTTTTATGGGTTAGAAAGAAGTAACGTGAATGCTTCAGCAAAAATGAATCCAATAATAAGGAAACTTCTACAGAAGTGTGCTAAGCTACCGTGCACATACCTGGGATCCATATTAGCCAAAGCTAAGATATCATCTAATTTTTGTATATCACGCAAATCAACGGGGAGTAGTTTGTAATGATCACCAAGAACTTCTCCTTTCTCTGCAGAATTGCTGATCCTTAATTAGTGAAGCAAGAACATTTGATTATGGGATTGATTGTACACAAACAAGGAAAACCGTGTGTGGTATTAGTTTTAAGAACTCAGGAGTCGAAAGGGATTCACTGAAGCAAATTCCTCAATGAAGCTTTGCTAAACAAGACAATAGCAAAGTGAAACAAGACATTCAATACAGTTCATATCATTATATAGCAACTGAAACAAGAAGACACACCACAAAACATAAATGATCAAAAATCAAATTCTAATTCGAGATCGATAATAATTAAAAGCCACTCCTTAACCAGAGAATTAAATAAATGAATATTTACATGACCATCTTATGTCATATACCCAAACCAAAAGAGAAATAAGCAAGTTGAAAATATATAACTTATACTAATTGTGATCTTTTGTTCGTAATGTCATCTAATTTGGCAAACTTTATGTTGTGAGTCTGATTAGTATACAACTTTCCAAGGACAGTTCGCAAATTCGTAATAAAACCATTATGTAACTTTTAACACATTTAAATATTGATAAAGTGGATGAGAGACAATCATCAACTTCTTACAACTTAACGTTTCACGAAGTGTGAACTAGCTTGATTCTATCAAATGTCTATGACACTATTTTTGAGCATTTGAAAAGGAAAAATTTTAGAAAATGGTTTATTTATTCCTCCATTGGAATGACAAAAAAGCAAGCCAAAAAAAAAAAAAAATCTGCCGGTCCTCTCTGTGTTTTAAGATCAAAGACAAATACAGTAACCAAAAGATGGTAAAACTAAAATTTTATTAGGATAAAAAAAAAATTTTAATTGGATTTATAATAATAATAAAGTTTTTGATTATATTGAGATTTACACAAATGGTCTTAAAAGTCTACAATATATTGCATAATATTCTACAAATCAATTTTACTTCCAAACGTTCATCTTTGAATTCTAAGATCCAGTACGGCCACAATGGTAATAGTAACATAAACTCTTCAATTTACCCAAAGTACCCATGTCAACCAACATGAGATCAGAGGGTCCTATCTAGCAACCATGCCAAATCCATTTAAAAATACGTAACTGCTGGTTATGTTCAAGATTTCATTAAGATATGCGTACAATGGTCAACCATAAGCAAAGTGCCGAAGGCACTTCCAAAGCATACACATAACAAAACTAATGATAGCGTTTGGTAGAGTTTTAGAATTATGATTTGAGAATAGAATATACAGAGAAATTAAATTAATAAATAAAATCTCAAAGTTTCATATGCACAAAAAAAAAATCTGAGCAATAAGGTAATTATGGCACATAAATGGTCAATTTTGAGCCATTTGAGCATGAATTCCAACAAATACTACAATTAAAGCTTGCATACATGCAGAAGAGGAACAACTTCACTGAGGATATTTATGTATACAATGGAGAGGGAAAGAATCAAAAAATAAATAAATAAAGAAGTAAAAACATTTTTGAAGTAACATTAGGTATATCTAGCATTGGCTGCACTGGAGATATTACCTCGAGATATTGACACTGTTTCACCAACTTTGTCCCTCAACTGACTGCAGGTTTCAATAAGAGCAACCTTCTTACTAGTAACCTAACAAAATGATACTTCAAAACTTAGCTTGCTCAGAAGTTGAAACAGTAAGTGAAACAATGATGAATTTGAGAACAAATCTCCTCATATCAGTATCACAGCTCTGGTGAAATCAGAGCAGAAACTTGACTCTTGATATGAAAGATGTAGTAGGAAGCTTCAGCTTCTTTCACATAGATATACTCCACCCAATAACACATTAAACTATGTACCCTTACACCATATATAAGCCAAGCCAGTGAATTGCCCAGAAACCAACAAGAAAGTTATGATTGTTCCAAATTTGTACCTCCTTAAAATCCAATTCCACATATAAATATGGTGCTTTCCCTTCCTCCTGGCAAAGATAATAATTGTATCACAATTAAAACCAGGTGGCTTAATGCCTTTTATCAATATGCACATGAATAAACCCTAATTTTAGTAGTTTAGTACTTACTACCAAAAAACTTGTATCACAATTAAAACCAGGTGGCTTAATGCCTTTTATCAATATGCACATGAATAAACCCTATTTTTAGTAGTTTAGTACTTACTACCAAAAAACAAATGAACCATGCAAAAATATTCTACAACTATAAATGTAAAAAATTAAACTACTAGTTATCTGATTACAGAAATAATAAGACAAAGAGACTCATTGCATTTTCATATAAATGATAGACCAGAATGAATGAATGACTAATGGTAAAACAAAACATGTACGTTGCAGTGAAAATAATTAGGATGCATTAAACCTACACCAACCATGTGCAAAATTAATCACACGCTGTAAGGAAACCCAGGCACCTGTAACTGAAAAAATGTTGTATCAAAACCAGCTCCCAGTGACAATATTTGCTTCTTCGTGTGACCTTTTTCCCCAATATTTTCCTCACAATTGAGAAACTGATAAAGAAGCTTTCGGAGAGCAGCCCAACGAGCAAAGTAACCTTAAGATATCATATGCAGAAGCAAAATCAGGAATTTTAAATTAAAACTACAAAAACTTGGTATTTCAGTTCAAATCTCTAGTAACAATTTAACTATACCACGATTGATTATCGGAGCTCTTCTCACAGGCCTTTTTACAAACAAATGGATGTAGTCATCTTTCATGTATCCCTTTTTAACACAAGACCTATCACGAATGAATGAAGGCATTAGTATTATTGAAGGAAAAGTAAAGCACCACCAAATTGTGTTTTCCAACAATCTAGCTAGATGAAGGAAGCATGCAAAGAAGAATCACTATTACTACAAGCATTATAAAGAAATAAAATGTCAGCAGTCCTGTAGAACAGACCAATGACATCATTAATTGTTACTTTCTCATGGTAATAGAAGTATTTATTATAATTCTGGCAAGGACATTAACAACAAATATATAGAAAATTGTAGGCCATTAGTTTCTTCATCTATGGCAACAAATTATATTTACATCATATAATTGTGAATTACTTATATTGAGGTATCCTAGTTCTTTCTACAATATATCCTTGTCTCCATAACTGTAACCCGCTCACAGGATCATAAAGGTCACACGAATCGATGATTGGGAGGACTTACATGTAGGTCCTAATATGTAGACTTATTGTCCAAATGGTCCTGTGAGAATTAATGGCATTTTTTATCAAACACTATTAAAAAACATCACTAATTGTTAATTTTCATTTCAGCGACAATTTGAAAATTTTGTCATAAAAAATGTCACTAATTATAAGTTTTAGCAATAGTTTAAAAAAATCGTCACAAAAAGTCACCAATTTTTAACTTTCAACAACAGTTTGAAAAATTCGTCACAAAAAAATATTACTAATTATAAGTTTTAGCGACAATTTATAAAAATTGTGACAAAAAAATCAAATTGTCGACATATGCAAAAAATCATCACAAAAAAATATTTTTATCGACGATTTTATTAGGACTTGTGGGTATAATGTGGCAATATGGTGTGGTTAGAGGTAGTCTGGGAAGATGGCGGGCACTTCAATGGCCTAAGATTACCGGAGGCGGAGAGGAGGAGGTCAAGGCAAGTTTGGAGAGGGAGAGTTTGGCAGTGATAGACCTTGAACACTAATGTATAGTGTAAGAGAGGGTATTTAAACATGAGACTTGGTTGTGTTCTTGTTGTGTCTCATTGCATATACGATACGTTATATAAGCCACAAGAGTATTGGAGCCCAAACAAACTGTTGGACAGATGGCTCATTCTCCTCAACCCTGCCAAAAGTGATATAAGCCCTTCTGCCGTCTGTGGCTCGACGGCAGGCGGAGAGCAACGTTTCATGGCAGACAGAAAATAATGTTTCTTATATGCATCGGATGACATGAATGTAAGGTCGTTGTTGCCTCTTCCCCAAGCTTGGTCGAGATGGAGTTGTCTTAGCAAGAAGACAACCACCTCAATGATCCCATGACCTCAGCTGCCAGTCCAGTATCCTCTGATGATTCCGGGCAGTAATGCCTGGGTCCCGCTCTGAACCCAGGCAAAGTAAGTGAATGGGCTAGGGCCCACCTTAATGTTTAAGAGAGCTAGGGGCTCGCTTCCACGCGACCAAGTAGGAGAATGGGTCGCGGGCTTATCTCAATGTTTAGGAGAGGAGCTCGCTTCTAAGCGACCAAGTAGGAGAATGGGCCACAGGCCTATCTCAATATTTAGGAGAGCTTCCAAGTCCAAGTGAACTGGGGACTGATTGTATTGTTATTTGGTCTTGAAGCGAGGTATGAAGAACTATGGGCCTTGCGGGGCCATGGTGCTGCCTGTTGCAGAGCTCTTCATATTTGGATATATTTGGGCTTATATGTATGCTCCCGCTTAGGCTAAGCATATAGTCGTGGTTTTATGTAGTGCCTTGGCATATGGTGCTCATAGGGCTCGCCATGTATCAAACATACGACATGCCCGCGTGGTGCCTTATTGGTCTGCCACGTGGGTGGGGTTTTGGTGATATGGCACCTATAGGGTTTGCCACGTATTGGACTTAATATAAGTACCCACATGACTTATTTTCAATATGACTTGATGAGAATTAAGTCCAATTATTAGGACTTGTGGGTAGTTTACCCCAATGATTGAGGGTTTTCCAAGCATAGTCATCCCCATTTGCAAGATTTGCAACTTACTTGGTCTTTTACACAAAGAGGGAGGGAACCAGCATGCTAATTTGATATGTGGCCCTCATCCTCAAAGAAAACACAATATGCTTCACATTCACTCCATACTTGAGAGTACATTTCATGATCTCTCATATCACGTCTCTATTAATGGTTGAGATCGCTCCGTTGACGACGGGTGAAGCCCAAAAAAAGTTGAGTGAAATGTGATTGACATATAGCTACATTTTACCTATCTTTTCCAAATTCATGATCCAAACACAGTCTCAGGCTAACTCAGTTCTTACCTATAAGTTATAATAAGATAAATATTGCCATAAAATAATCTTTATAGTTTTGGTTGCTTCATTTTCTTAGAAAATTGTTGAAAATGAAACTTATGCAAATATTAAAAAACAACCCTCTCTTACTAAGGGGTGGTTTGGGAATGATCTAAATAAGTGCACTTTTTGACTTTTTATGAAATACGGGTTGGGTATGAGTTGAGTTTGAAGTGATGTGATTTAAATAAGATGATGTGACTTAAATAGGAAAGTAACTTTTTGACTTTTTAATTTTTTTAGATTATGACATACAAGGCCTAATTTTGATAGAACCAGTTGAACTGGATGAGTTGTATTCATACTTTTATCTCTATCTTTAATGTAATGAAGATCCAAGGTTATTTTTGGGAGAAGTGATCTAGACTATACTACTTTGTAAAAAGGAAAGAAAAAAAAGGATTTAAAAGGGCTGGGTTTCTGGCCTATTTGGAAATTGACTATTTTAGTTGGCATTTGCCTTTTTTATGAAAAAGCGTGTAAAAATTAGAGAGAGTGATGTAACAACTTATAGTAACTTTAAGGCTACAAACGTCTTTTTCCAAATGTAAGAGTAGTTAGCTTGAGCCCGTTAAATTAATTAGGTCCAATCGGAGCCCAATCAGAAAGCCCAAGAGCCCAATCAGAAAGCCCAAAATTAATGGGTCTGGAGAAATTATTGCAAAATGAGCCCAAGTAAATTATATTAAAAGGGCCCACAAGAAAGTCAACAAATTGGGCCGAGGAAGACCCACAAAACATATATCTTCAAAGAGAACCCAACAAGCCCATCTGAGGGGGGCTAGATCATACAAGCATCCGGGAAAATTAATCGGCACACACTCCTGAAGAAGGAGATCATTCTCAGAAGAGGTAAAACCCTCAGAGGCAAAGTTCTGAAAAGCGGTTGCGGTTGCTGTAACGGTGGCGGTGGCGCGGTTGCAGTTACGGGGTGTAAAGGCCGTAGCGTAACGGTTGTGATAACCGGAACTGTGAAATTTTATTTTTTTTTCGCACAATTTGAAAAAAAACTTACCGATATGCATTTTTTTTCCATGATTATATTTATTAGGTTTAAAATAAATATTGATCAATTTTTGTAAATTTTTAAGTATGATCTAATATATTTTATATTTTTAAATCACTATAAACTGAGTTTTTTACATTTTATTTTGATAATTAATGACTTTATACTATACAAAAAATAATCACTAACTATTATATATGTAGCGTAACGGTTGCGATAACCGGAACTGTGAAATTTTATTTTTTTTTCGCACAATTTGAAAAAAAACTTACCGATATGCATTTTTTTTTCCATGATTATATTTATTAGGTTTAAAATAAATATTGATCAATTTTTGTAAATTTTTAAGTATGATCTCATATATTTTATATTTTTAAATCACTATAAACTGAGTTTTTTACATTTTATTTTGATAATTAATGACTTTATACTATACAAAAAATAATCACTAACTATTATATATAAGATAAACAATGACAAAAGTAAGAGAATAAATAAGAGCCTAAATATATATATACATATTTTAACCAAGCTAAATAAATAATGACCTCACTTATTATTATTATTATTATTATTATTATTATTTTCAAAAAATATATAGATAGACACAAACAAAATGGTTGAATGATAACAGCTGAATAGAATAGCATACGTCTTACAGCTTCAATAAATCAATAACATGTTCTCCATCTTCTCTCTTCTCTTTTTCTATCTCTTGCTCTTCCATCTTCTCTCTTTATCTTCCCTCTTCTTTCTATCCCTCTTCCCCAATTTTCAGCTTTTTTTTTTTGTGTTTTTTCAAAAGAAACAGTTCAGAACCATTACGTAACGGTGCGTAACAGATCGTTACGGCTATTATGGCATTGTTACGACTACTACGGCCGACACACCTGTGAATCTCAATCACACTACAAAAGTGGCTGTAACGAATGTTGGTAATCACCACAATCGTTACGTAACGGTGTTACGTAATAGTTGTGGCCGCTTTTTAAAACTCTGCTCGGAGGAGATCCATTCTTCGAGGTAATTGCTTTTTTTCGAAAAGGTTCATATCCACAAACCCATAGGCTTATTGAGCTCAAACTCGAAAGGGTTCTAAGCAAACCTAGAGATCTGATGCATTTAGCTTCAAGTGGATTCACTCTTTGGTTAAACTAACCTATACCTAAGTCGAGGTGGCATGATCTAGGGAGTCCCCGAGACTCGGTGATAATTGCGGTAGAGCGTTCTCTTGAACTACTCTTGCCCTTTTATGGCAAGGCGTTCTCTGGGATTACCTTTGACCCTTTGAAATGATTGGAGATCATTGGTTAGACGTGCCTAAGAATAAATGTTCGCCGAGAGGTTGATCTCCTCTTCAAGATTTTTATCATCCTCGAAGAGGTCACCTCATTGAACAAAGTCATTAGAGGGAATATTTCCCATATACCTTGCATCAAGAGGTGCCTATTAATAGCACCTACTCATAACTTTACAGGGGAGTTGATTTTGGAGAAACAATTTTTGGAAAAGAACTAATTTCCGTTCTCCATTATCTACCGTGAGAGTAAAAGTGAGAAATTCATGGGAAAACCTTGCCATTATTCTCTCTAACTACTTTGCCTTCTTCTTCAACCAATCTCTTATCTCCATCATCTCTTCGCTATTGTGTTTCTAATTGCAACTGTTGAAGAATCTAAGCCTCTCTACACATTTCTAGAAGATTTGAAATTTCCAATGACATTCAAATTTTTCAGCAGACATTCGAAGATTCCGGTGAGTTTTCCAGCAACATTCAAAATTTTCAGCGATGTCCTCCTCTCATACACCAAACATAGCATTGAGTGTTATAATTAGAAATATTTGCTAGCTTTCTTAAATTTAAGGCAACCTCTCTTTAGGTATGTTTTCCATTTTTTGTCTTGTTATTTGTAGTTTTCTATTCCAAGGGACTTCATTAGGAAGCAACCTCCTCAGCTACTTACACAAGGCTTGTAATCACTATTTTAGCAGATCTTTTTGAGAAATCGTAATTTCAGATTTTGATTTAATTTTTCTTTTATCCCCACTTTGTTACTTTTTAGGGCTTGATTTTATCTCGTGGAATTCGAGCCTTTATTAATCAGTCTCACAATCTGAATTTAGCACATTTCGACCTTGATCAAGTGTTATTCAATTGTAGTTGTTGGAACCTCCAGCCAAACTACATCAATCTCCATCCGAGTTGAACAATTTCCTTTCCGTTTCTGCTTTTTTCCCTACCTTCTAAGCAACCAAAAAGGAATCAGGAAAATAAACAAAATAATGATCGGTTTTCTGTGGAAATTTAGGGTTGCATATTCAAAGCCATTCACACACAGATATATATATATATATTCATATATAAATGTAATTGAGCATGAAACACAAGGAAGATGAGAGAGAGAGAGAGAGAGAGAGATTGAATGGGACGTACAGTTTACTGGCGGAAGCGTCATCGTTGGTGGCTTGAACGGCGGCTCTGTTGCTCTGCGAATTGGCAAGCGGTCTCGCCATTTTTTTTCCTCTCTATGGATGGAGAGAGATGAGATGTAAACAATTGGCGAATGAGGATCAGCCTAAGGAGAAAGTTTGGGTATGTTTGGTTTGTGTTTGAGAGATGTGTTTTAGAGATAAAAAGTATGAAAACATGTTTGGTTTAGTTTTTTTTAAAAGATGTTTTGAAAAATTATTTTGAGATAGAGTTTTGGAAAAAGTGATTGATTTGATATGTGTGAGAGAGAGATTTGTTTGGAAAACTTGTTTGGTTTACAAGTTTTAGGAAATTTTTTTGGAAAAATTTGTTTGGTTTGGTTATTTTTGAAAACTTATTTGTAGAGAAAATTTCCCAAAATTTTTTCAGAAAATCAAACCAAACAAGCCCTTTCTTTTTTTTTAAGTACATTTATTATATTTTAAAATATTAATTTTTTAAAATTATTTTTGATAGTATTTTTTTTTTGAAATAATAATTGTTATAATTATATTTTGTGTTATTAATGAATTTAAAAATAATAAAAAAATAATAATTTTATATTATTTTATTCTTTAATTTTTGAAAATTGAATAATATTTTGAGATAATGAAAAATTAAATAAGAGATTAATATTTTGAGACAGAAGAAGTATATAACTAGCAATTTAATCGTGCAATTCATATACTATTTTTTTTTAAAGTATTTAATGGTATAATGCTTGTTATAAAAAATAATTTTAATTATTTATTTTGATAATATTGACGCTATTATTCAATCAAATTGTTACCTGAATACTTATATATATATATATATATATATTATAATTTTAGTTAAATTATTTGTGTACTTTGAATTTTTTTTCTATTGTATTATAAAAGTGTAATTATCATATAATAATTTTATATAATATATATTATATTATAAAATAATAAAATAAATATTTATTTTGATATTGAAAATAATAGTTAAATTATAAGAAGAATTAATAACATAAAATTAAAAGTAATTCTAATTATTTAATTTTCTTTTATATTTATTTGAAAAATAAAAATATGTAGAAATAGAAATTATATAAATTTTATTAAAAAAATTAAATATAAATATGTTGTAATTAGATTATCATATAATGATTTCATATGATATATATTAAATTATAATATTGTAAAATAAACACTCTTAATTAAATTAAAATATCAACTATAAAAAAATTCAATAACGACTAAAAAATAAATAATCACATAATAACATTTAAACCTAAAAAGAAAAAATAATGAAAATATCCAAATAATAGATGCATCTCAGTGTGTGAAGTAATTAATTATCTGTAATATGATATCAAAACATAAAAGAACTTATTGTTTAACAATTAAAAAAATAACTCAAACAATAAATCCAAACTTTAGAGATTCCTCGAAGAGTATCATTCAGTGTATTTGGTTTCACTTCTCTAAATTTAGTTTTCTGGAAATTGAATTTTTTAATTTTCGTATTTTTTTTTTGTTTTTAGTGAATATTTTTAAAATTTTAAGTAATTTTTAAAATTTTTTAGATACATCTTACTTAGATGTATCTAAATAGTAAAATGTTTATGAAAAATATTTTAAAAAATTAATAAATACATAAAAATACAAAAAATGTACTGAATTTTCGTGTTTTTATTTATATTTTTTATATTTAGTGAATTTAAAAAAAAATCACAAATATTATATTTTTCAAGTGTATTTATGTTAGGTGTGTTTAAATTTTTTTTTTTAAAAAAATTGCATAAAATATTAAAAAAATTCATTAAAACAAAAAAAAATACGAAGAATAAGAAAATAAAATTTTTTGAATAATGTTTTCTGAAAACCAAAACCAAACAAGTTTTGTGCTGAATTTTCCTCATGTGAGTTGTGATTATATAAAATAATAAAGGAAATGAAGTATAATTTCATATATAGGCCTCATTTTGGAAGTTGACTATTTTAGTATGCTATTTTAATTTTTGATTATTTTAGTATGCTAAATTTTTTTATGTTTGGGAAGAGGGTTGAATTTTTTTGTAGTTGGATGTCATATTTCTGACAAAAAAAATTTAAATGATTATGAATTTGATGTGATATTTTGTCTTATTATTATTTTAGTCTATTTTGTTTTTTTATATATATAATTTTAACCAAAAAAGGCTCAAATTTGGCTTCCCAAACGAATCATTATAAAATTTAAATTACAAATCCGTAATATAGAATAATATAAAATTAGTATTGGGTATAAAATAATGCACGAAAAATAAGAAGAAAAAAATTTAGCATTAAATTTTTTTTCTAATACTCTTGAAAGAATTGAGAAGAAAAACGTAAAATGCAAAATTGGTATTGAGTTTGTGGATTATCTCAATTTATCATAAAAAATATATAAAAAATAAATATTTGTCAAATAGAGTCTATATAGAATAGGTAAATTTGTATAATTTATATTAGGTTTGTGTTTGTATAGAATTTTATATATAATTCATAAAATACATACTGACATAACTCTCTTGGAAAAAATTAGTCCTTATAATGTGCCACTTAAACATGAGAAAAATATTACTTTTAATAATATATATTTATGTGGATTTAAAAAAAAAAATCCCATTTTAATCCTATTATATTATTTACTTATTGTTTTTTTGACATTGGTCCATAAATTCAATTTTAAATTTTTTTAAGTAATAGCTTTTGGCTCTAATTTTTGTAGTCATAATCATAATAACAATTAAAAAAATCATAATATTTGTCAATTCCGTTCTTTTATCTATTTACATGTCAATTATACGTTCACGTATTATTTATTTATTCATATATTATTTTTCTATCTATCTAATATATTTATTTGTTTATATCATCACCATCGGCCACCATCAATTGCCACCATCCACCACTTGCCATTTTTTGACCTTTTCGACATTGTTGATTTTTTCAACGGCAATCTTATAGCAGCAGGTAAAAATAATAATAACCTAAAATAATAATTTATTTTTATCACTAAATATTTTTTTACAATTAAAATAAAATCATTTTGAAATACCCTTAACCGTTGAGTTCTTACCACTTGTTTCTCACTTTTATTAGTTGCTTTTAGGTTGGATCTAACCATAATTTAGAAAAATTTATCAAATCCAATTAATGTGATTTGCCTATAGATCAAAATCCTTTTTTTTTTTTTGTCCTTCTCTATTGATTTGTTTCCCCAATGCTAAAACGTTCGCGGACTAAAATATGTTATTTTTTAATCACAGTCCAACATAGCTACAACTTGTTAAATCGTTAAGGGTTGCTTGTCAACTAGTTACTTTAACAACCGTGCTACGTCTCCCGAATTGAAAGCCCCTGAATCCCCTGAAATCAACAACGCAGAAAAAGAGGGCAAAGAAGAAGAAGAGGAAGAAAAATAAAGAAAGAAGAAGAAAAGAAAGGAACAGAGCAAAGAAAGAAAGAGAGATCATCATCTTCATCATCAACTATCAACCAAAAATCAAACCCACCCCAACACATCATCATCAACATAGCTTCATCAACAACCAAAAATCAAACCCACTCCAACACATCATCATCAACATAGCTTCATCATCAACAAAAAATCAAACCCACCACATTCCCTCCATTTCAGATCCAGAAAAAAAAAAGAAAACGGGGCTAGGCTGCGACGGAGGCGGAGGCGGAGGCGGCGACGATCGGAGAACCGGGCTGGGCTGCGACGACGACTAGGCTAGGCGACGATCGGCGATCGGCGAACCTCTCTTCTTTTTCTCTCTTTCTCTCTTCTCATCTTTTTTTCTCTCTTCTCTGCTCTCTCTCTGTTTTCAGACATAAGGAAAAAAAAAGGGGCCCAAAACAACGTCGTTTTGGACGATCGGGGGATTCGGGGAGAGAGATTTGAGCTACGAAGCTTTATTCTTATTTTAATTGATTTCTAATGAAAAAATACATAAAGAAATAAAAAGGGTACTTACTTGTAAACCTTAATAAGTGGGCTTATTATCTAATAGGTAATAAAAAGTCACTAATTGTAAGTTTTAACAACAATTTATAAAATAATAATAAAAAAAGTCATTACTTATAAATTTTTAGCAACATATATAAAAAATTGTCACAAAAAATTATTTTTAACAACAATTTTACCAAGATTTATTTTTAATAGGACTTGATAGGAATTAAGTCGAACTATTTAGACTTATTGGTAGTTTACCCAAAAATTAAATAAATAAAAAAAATGTTATGATAATTTATAATAATTTCAACTTTTTAAACTATTTTAATTTCTCCATAAATGGGCCAATATCATTTATATTATTTTTATCCCTTTAATCTTACTAAAAGAGAAAGAATTATAATTATATCAAAATTATAAAATTGATTTTTTATTTTTTAAATTTTAGGAGAGGTTGTGTAATTATTTAAATCTTATAGGACTAAATAGGAATTTGTTCATTTGTTGGGAAGGCCACTGAAGTTCACCCTTTTCAATTAGGGGTGTTCGCGGATCGGTTTTGTGCGGTTTGCGGTTCGGTCTTGACCCGCCCGCATTTATGCGGTTTGGGAAAAAGTCAACCCGCAACCGCCCGCAGTGCGGTTTGCGGTTTGTGCGGATAGGGTTTGCAAATGCGCGGGCGGTTTGCGGTTTACACTTTTTTTCTTTAAAAATTAATTTTCGAATTTTTTTTTTCACAGCGAATTTAGGCATTAGATTCATTTTATATATTTGTGATAACAATTTTTTGATGAGTTTACAAATAAAAGCTGAATATCAATGCATTAAATGAAAGTATCCAAAACAAAGAGACCCTACACTAGCATTTTTGCCATGAAAAAAATGTATATCAATGCATTAAAGGTTGTACTCAATTAGAATTGCTAGTTCAGTAATCAATAATCAAACTATAAGTTCCATCGACCATTAAAAGGAAAATTTTATTAGGAAAAAGTGGATGAATCACCAATGAAAATCATATAAGAAACCAAGTTTAGGACTTGATAATTCTACGGCATTAAGAAAGTTGAGAAATACTTAAAAATAAGGATCCTATAGTGTCATAGATAATATAATGGTGCTCCTGTAAAAGTTACAAAGTTGATATATAAAAAGTAAAAATAATAATAATAATTAAAGTGCGGGCGGTTTTTGCGGGTTGCGGGTTTAAACCGCGACCCGCCCGCAACCCGCAAAGTTGTCATATTTCAAACCGCATCCGCCCGCATTATGTTAGCGAAACCGCCCATTTATATGCGGATTGAGCGGTTCGGATAAACCGTTGCCCACCCCTATTTTCAATTTTAGCCCCTTCAAAACCATTACAAGTTCAATAACCCCCCTGCTCAAAGTTCGAAAATAGCACAATTTCCACATATAAATAAAAAAACAGAATGCTCGATAGAAAGAGTGAACCAACCAGACAGGGCAGATCTCTCTCTCTCTCTCTCCCTTTCTCTCAAAAGTCGAAACACTTGTTCACGATTTGTATAAACCCCCGTCTCAATACACCACTGATTGTTATTCTCTCCAGAAATTGAATTCAAAAACCCTAGTTTTCTTTCCATATTCTCGATGTTATCCAACCCTATCAGTTGAAAATCATCGATTATTTTGGGATATTGAATTCAAAAGATGGACATCGAACAAAAACAAGCAGAGCACATAGAGTACTTCGTCAAGCAAGCCTCGACCCACAAGGGCGCTTCCGTTTCAAACGTCGTCGTTGAAGCCACTTCGCATCCGTCTCTATTCGCCTTCTCCGAGATTCTCGCCGTTCCCAATGTTCTCGAGGTCTGAATATTGTATTCAAACGCACACCATATATATGTGTATATATATATATTGTATTATTTTATTTTTTGGTAATATAGGATAGAAAACCTAGGATATATGTGATATTGGGCTTCTCCGAGTGTTCTTATTATGTGTGAATTTTTGTGGGGTTTTTTTGTTTTTGTTTTATTTGATTAGTTTGTACCTTTTGCTTTGGAAATGGATGCGTATCATATGCCTGGATTATGATGATTGTGGTATCATATATTGTGGTGTTAGCCCATCTCCAATGGTTCATCAAATCCATCGTCAAATTTAAATTTGATGAAAAAAGTTTTTTTTTGCGCCGGCTCATCAAATCCATCATCAAATTCAGCATTTTACTTTTCTTCCATCAAACTTAGGACCAATATGCCTTCTATCAAATTAGCATTCATTGCCGGTGGATTTTCACCACTGGATGTTTCCCGGATGACCATCTCAAAACAAAAATTTGTGAAAAAATTACACCGACCGGTCGTTTGCTTGGTCGTTCGCCCGGTCGATCGGTGATTTGATGAAGCTACAAAACCTTCCGTTGGAGCACTTAATATCAAAGGAAGTTTTTACTCAAATTTGATGAAAAAATTGACACCATTGGAGATGCCCTTAGTTATTAGCTATTGTGACATTGTTTCTACTGCATTGTGATTATTATTTGGGTAATGCAATTTATACACCAATAATCCACTCAATAGATGCTATTACTTAGGCCTCATTTGGCAAGTGACTTTTTTAATTAAAAAGTCAAAAAGTTACTAAAAAATCAAAAAGCTAATAACATATACAAAAAGGTCAAAAATTTCATTTTCTCTCTACCTTTTGCATATTTTTTTGTAAAAAATCAAAAATCCATCCCAAACATACTATTTTTTTTTTAATATCATATTTTAGCCAAAAAGTCAAAAAGTTACTAAAAAATCTTGTTTCCAAACGAGGCCTGAATACACACATAATAATTTTTAGGGTTTGAAAATATATTAGTTCACACCTTCACTTTCTATTACTAGTCTTAAGATAACACCGCAACCCATACCCAAATATCTCCATTTTCAAAACACCAGAGACCTCCATCTTTAGACCACCATAGATCTCCATCGTCGGCGTTGAAGATCTCCATCGTTGCTGTTGTTTTGCCATTAGCTTGCTGATGCATTGTTGTCGTTTTAGATTTCCATCTTCACCGTCGATTTCCATCTCGCTGTTGTTTTATCTGTGCATTGTCGATGTTGAAGATTTATCATTCTCACCTGTGATTCACACATTTGATTCTCACCTTGATATATTTTTCTTATTTTCTTTTGATTTGGTTACCAATTCAACTTCCATAACAATTTCTATCTTGAGTTTGGCTCAACTCTGGCTGTCTGAACATAATATCATTGTACAAAAAAATAAAATTGAACAAATTGAATATGCTCAAAATATTTATGTTGAATAAAATAAATTCGTTCATATTTTATATGCTGAATAATTTTAATTCGTTCAGACTTACTATGTTGAACATATATGAAATTTTATATGTTATTTGTTCGTTGTTTTATTTATTTATTTTATTTTTATTTTATTTTTTGGTGGTAAACGTTAAATACATCTACTTTTTGTGAAAAAGAAAAGAAAATATACCAAAAACAAATTAAATTATTGAATTGAATTAAATTTGAGAAATGAAATTCTTAAGGAATTAAAATGTTCAATTTTTTATGTATGAATATTTATAATTTGGTCAACCTTAATAATTTGAACAGAATTGTTTTTGTTCGAATAAAAATAATTGAAATTGTGTAGAAGTTCAACTATGGTTATCCGAACACGTGACGAATAATGTCATCTTCCAACGATTATACAAACAAGATAAACAAAATACCAAAAAGCTAAGTATTAAACTAACATTTTCATTGTTGCATTATTCGAAATCAACAATCTCAGTTTCATCCATGATGTGCAATTCTTCAAACTAATTGATTTCAATGTTCTTAAACCCTAAAACCAATTGATTTCAATTTAAACCCTAAATCATCAAAACAATTTATTTTGGATGTTTATATGTCTATAAGTGATGATGGTGTGTGAAGAGTGTTTTGTGTTTTTATATATGAAATTTTTGAATGGGTAGAATACATCTCCGTATTGTCCTCAATGATATTTTCATTTGAGATATTATTGGAATATAAATCTAATATGTTAATGGTGTGTACTGAGATGATTATTGGTGTGTAAATAGAATTTCCCCTATTATTTTGGTTATTATTAAAAAATTAGACTAAAAAGTACTTAGTTATGACACCACAAATGTCGTAACTTGCATATGGTTTTTGAGAGTGTGTATATTGGTATGACCCTTTATTTTGCGACGATTTAGTTTTTTGGTGTTACCTTAGAACATCATTCAGTTGACGCTTCAGATATCTTACTCTAAATTGGTTTATGGTTTATTACACAATTGTGAATGTATGCATTTATGTAGTGGCATATTGTTCAATTCAGTCTTCATATTTATTAGTTATTTATTTATTTTTGGTGAGGAAAAGTTTAGGTGAAGGGGAGGTTACCCCAGTCTAGGGCTAGGGCAAGCCGCAAGCCGTAGGCCTCAGTGAGGACTTACATTAGACTTATATATCGCCCCACAAAGGAGGATTGCTGGTAGCGGGAATCGAACCGAAGCTGTGAAGGCGAAGTGTCCGATCCTTACCAACTTAACCAACCTCCGTTGGCTGTCTTCATAGTTATTTTAGTTATATGGTCATCGGTTGTATAACTTGTATATTTTTCAAAATTTTAAATAGGGAGGGGTTGGTGGCTGATGGGAAGAAATTAAGGTGATCGTATTTGATTTCATGGAAGTATCTAAAGTTCCTTAAATTATTTTTCCACTTAACCTAATATTTGTTCTGAAAATTTAGTCACCAGTTATATCAAGCCGATATATAGTAGGTGAGCTTAACTATATTGGTATTGGAGCTTGGTGATTCAACTACAACAAATCAGAACTCCTAGTAACCCATTTTTTCTTAGCTATCATTTCCTTGCCCTTTATATGGTTTACGAAACTCCAAAATCTGGATAATCAAATCATTGAAGAATATTACATTTAATTAATATTACTGACAAAAAAAAATCTTTCCATTCCATCCTTCAAAATGTATCCCGAATGCTTTTGTCAAAGCATGAATGATGTTTTGGTCTCCCTTTTATGTTTTCTCTCATCATCAGTTGTTACTTGATAATATTTGTCATTCAAATTAAACTTATTAAGTCTATCACACAAACATTCAAAAGCAACCGACCCAGCAACACCTAATCTGTTTTTTTACAAGCAATTTTTTTGGACATATTGGCCTACAATTAGGGAAATTTTTTACACACATCATGCAGGTGTTCTTGGGGTTTGGATACAATGAAATTTTGATTGGATCCACCCTTTCCTTGAGGTGGCTTGGGTCATGTCCAGATTGATTGGAGAGTTCACAGGGAAGGTGGTTTAGGGGCTGTCTTAAGGAGGAGCTTGAGTAGCATGTGTGAGGTGCTTCTTGTGCCACAGTTTTTTAACTATTTTGGTTGTAAACAAACAGGTGGCATGTACCTTATGTACATGGGTGTCCCTATTTGGTGCTTCTGTGAATTACTTTGAAATAATTTTTTTCTTAAAAAAAAGAAGACGAAGAGTCCTTCTTTAGATGGGATTAATGGGTTGAAGAGGCCAACAGGAGGGGCACATGAGCTGGGAAAAAGTGAAATTACAGAGAATCAGACTGTCAGTGAGCTTTATATGCTTGTTTAAGAGGCTATTTTTAGTCTATATATTACCAATGAGGTATTTGCCGCTTGTCAAAAAAGCATGCACATTCACAGCATTTAACTTATCATATGTGATTTATTGTTGAATGATGTTTCTGTGCCACCCCCTTGCCATTTTCCCTCTCATTTTCTGTGTGTCTGTGTGTCACATTCAATTTTTGTTATGCTACGTTTGCTCTCTCACTTTGTTGCTCATTGCTGACTTTGTATTAATGAAGTGCATCTTTCTATTTTGAACCATTGTTGGGTAATAATTGTTTACAACAAATTATGCATCAGACATGGCTTGAAATCTTTAGCTAATTAATGAATTTTTTAATGAACTTGAATGCAGCTTCAAGGAACTGAGAACTCTGTATATCTTGATCTGCTTCGTTTGTTTGCCCATGGCACATGGAGTGACTACAAGAGTAAGAATCCCATCTAATTATTGTTGTAAAAATTAATTTTGAATTCCTATTAGAATTTGTTATTTGACATATTATAGTTTTTTCCCTTTATGCATCTAAATACTGTTTTTGATGCAATTCATAAGAATTTGCTAATGGAAATTGCTTAGTTTTCTATATGAATTATTAAGTTTTATATCTTAGGGGTATTTGGGTAATTTCAAAAATTTCATGACATGAGTTGTATGTGTCGCCCATGAGTCGTCTTGTGGGTCAAGTTACTAATTAGACTCGGCCTTCCTTTATATTTTATGATGTTGTTATTTTTTGAGTCCTGAGATCATATTGAATGCATTGAGATTCATCCTTTAATAAGCAAAATTTATTAAGAGGAGCATCAAAAGGGGATGAAACCAAAGAAGCATGGACACGCACATTGTGACACGCTAATTTTCAAAAAATACAAGACATTACATGTGAGGGACGCGCACAAAATATATAATTTTGCATATTTATTGTATGTCATATATATAAACATATCATTAAAAAATAATGAAAAAAATGCAATATAACATTTATTCTTATAAATTTACATTGTTTCTTTTATTATTGTATATTGTATCCAAAGGTATTTTGTTCAAACTTATAATTAGTTTCATGTATGTCAAATCAATAGACAAGTGTGTTTAAGCAATGTACACGTGTCTTCGGAGTGTCGTGCCTAAATTTAAAAAAAAAATAAAAGTAATTGGACATGTTTTGACAGTGTTGGTGTCCTTGAACATTCCACCTTTTTAGAAGTGTCCTTGCTTGTTAGGATGAAAGTAATGCAACCAACCACTGGGGTTTTAGCCCAGTGGCCCAAACCCATGTACCTCGTTATGAGATCACGGGTTCGATTCCCTTTCTCAGCCTCCGATGTATGTACCCAATAAAAAGGGGTCATGCATCCCATATATGAAGTTAAAGCAAAACAAATCACTTTGACCCACAAGAAAACACCAAAGAAGGCCTATACATTCGATACAATACAAAGTAAGGCCTATATAAAAGGAGAGAAACAAGTTGTCTTTGAATAAATATAGTTTTATCTTTCTCAGGTTCTCAGCTACAGTTAGTAGTGGTGCAAGTCCTAGGAGGTACGTAGGTAAGAATGTCTTTCTCCATCTCTCATCTATTTATTTTTCTTCTTCAATAACTATTTCTCTTCCTTTCGTGCTTCTCTATTTTTTTTTTTGGATTTGTCTTTCTGATCACCTTCCTTTCAAGTCAATCAATACTCTGGATATTATGATGCTGATATCTAGGTCTATCCCTCATCAATTTTGTTATTAGAGTGGACCTGGCTATTGTCTTTATTCAACCTATGAAGGCTTTGTGAGTAAATCCGTTAGTCCTTTAGAGAAGAATATGGTTTTTTCAAGAGGATTTTGCTAAGTTGTAGACCTAAGTTATAGAGAGGCAATCTCAAACTGATCGAAGGTTCAACACACTCTAATTCAAGGTTCAAGAAACCAATGATGAGTTTAAGCAACTCTCTTTAAGGTCCGGTAGGCCGTCATGCTATTACTTCATCAATGTTACAAACCTATGGGAAAATCAATCTCAATTTCAATTTCAAGAGTTTTCAAATTAACTCCATCTACTTAAGTGTGTCTTTGTCCTATTATTGTTTCCAAAGGTGGTCAAAGTTGAAGCACAAAAGGGTTGTTCATGCAACCTGAGGTCCATGGAAAGAAAGGTTTTGTCACTTTTTTATAATGTATATGAATAGGCATTTAGAAAGTTAAAACTATAGACTTAAAAGCAGAAACAGAAGCAGTTTGATTTATTAATAGATTCTTCTCTCTCGAAAGTGGTTTCATGGAGTGGGTGCGTGAAATACTATGACTGAAATTTGGTACGGAATATTTTTTAGGTAATGCTGGTCGTCTTCCGCAGTTGGTTCCTGATCAAACCCTCAAGCTAAAGCAACTTACTGTGCTAACATTGGCTGAGACAGAAAAGGTATTTGTTTTTAAACTTTCAAATGTTTTTAACTTGTTTGTTAACTTAAATTGATGGTTATTTGTTTGAAATATATTGATTCACTTGTTTGATGAGTGATCTTGGTAACTTCAGTGTTTGAGTCAAGGTAAGGACTACTAAAATTTGCCGTTTTCAGAACTACATGGTGCTTATTTTTCAGAGCTTGGGTTTCTATTTGCAATGTAATCATCACTCTACTGGAAAAACCAATTTGATTAGCTTGTGGCCTGGTATAGCCAATCAAAATCTGTAGCATGCATTTTCACAACGGTGACTCATCTCATTTTTAGAGAAAGATGCTCATGCTTTTGTTACTCAGTACTGTGTTGGACTTTTTAGAGATGTTAAATTGTTAGTCCTCTTTGGAGTTGAATGAAATGTTAAATTCATTAACTGATTGATAGAATTTATTGGTCAAGTTTGTATATGGCATATACAAAGTGTTAAAATCCACCTACTCTCCACCTACTTCACCCACTTAAACCTACTCCACTAAACCTAACCCACTACACCACTACCACCTCACCTACTCCACTAAACCTAACCCACTACACCACTACCACCTCCACTTCACCTACTCCTTACCTACTACACACTCAACCTCTTCTATATATAGGAATCATGAATCATTGTAATAAATATCAATATACAATCAATCAATCAATCAATAATACATTTCTCTATTTCTTTTTATACATTGCATTTTTTACATGGTATCAGAGCAGGTTTAAAATCTAAAAATTCTGCTTCACCGGCGGGCGGCAGCCTCGCCTTGGCCGTCCGCCGGACCTCTACACATACCTTGAAATTCTTCTTCACCACTTTGCCGGAACAACCCCAAAACCCCTCGTGGAACACCAGTGTCTGGCCAACATTTATGCGGTCCTAAGGTCTCAGGGCAATTACAACCTTCATCAGATTCTGCTCACAACTCGCCCTTCTACATTGTCTGTCTCTCGCATCGGATCAGGAGGATCAGCTGGCAACGGCGGTGGTAATGGTGTTTTTCATTGGGCTGAATTGGGGGAATATATCTGGTCTCCGCCCAGGCTTCGGCCTTTCCCATTCGATGGGGAAATCAAGAGGAGACCGGCGAATCATCTTCTCTTCTCCGGGCGCCATACACACGACCTGCGACCTCCGAAGACTACACGTTATTTCCTCCTCCGCCGCCATCCTTCTCCAGCCGTGCCGCTACTACTCCTCTCTCGAACCAGAGCTTTGTCATCGATGGCAGATCTCTCTCCACCGCCACCGCATCATTTGTGATCTCGTCCAGATTACGCAGAGGCAAAAGGGGCGAGATTTCTCTCTCTCTTATCTTTCCACTCGTACCCTCACAATTCTTTTTTTAATCATTCCACTTCCTCTCACTCTCATTAAAATATTTTGATAGCCAAACATTCCCACGTGAAACCCATCAGGAAAGTGGCCCAGCTGCTGTTGCACACTTCCACAAACAAATATAAGATATTATATAAATATTTTGTTAACTACAACGGCCCATGGTATTCAAAACCCCCATACACTCCAACCAGCAGGAAAATCAAACTTGAATCTTCCCCATTAATACATTTTTATTATTATTATTCTTTTCAACACAAAAACAAAAACAAAAACAAAAACCAAAAAAAAAAAAAATGGAAAGAAAAGAAAAGAAAAACTGTCCTCATGTTCTGTTGTACATGTGGCATTGAAAATTGTATGAAATAGGGAGTCAAGAAGATTAAAGGTACATGATCATGATCGTTATAATTGGTAAAGCTGTTCCATTTTTCAAAACTAGTCATGGCAAGTCTGTGAAATAACTCAATTGAGAAGAAAAAAAGAAGTCATTAAGAGACCTTCCTGGCCCAACCTAGACACTATAATATCCTTTTTCAAACTTGCTCCCATTTCAAGTGGAGACAGATAAATAGACACATCCCATTGCACTAATTGGGGGCGCGCGGAGTGATTGAGGGGGTTGAAGACTAAATGAGTTATTTACTATGTTACATGGACTCAGTATGGGTGTCGGGTACAGGTGCACGTCTAGAGGTCAGATCCATCAAACTTCAAAAGAGTATGCAAACTCATCAAAAAAGGGGTCATTTTTTTTTATATTTTTAATCTGTTGTATGAAAGAAAATTGTGTTATATGTAATATACTGTGTCAAAAAGTCAATTTACTCGTTACATAGCGATTATACAATAATATATATATATATATATAATGATAATGTGAATTACAAATATATGAGAAATGTCTGATGGAAAGTAACGAACACATACCCCCACACTCTTGTCCAAGTGTCAGGCATCTGACATAGGTATTACATGGGTATTTACCACTACCACCTCACCTACTCCACTAAACCTAACTCACTACACCACTACCACCTCCACTTCACCTACTCCTTACCTACTACACACTCAATCTCTTCTATAGATAGGAATCATGAATCATTGTAATAAATATCAATATACAATCAATCAATCAATCAATAATACATTTCTCTATTTCTTTTTATACATTGCATTTTTTACACAAAGTAAAAGATTAGTATTTCAAGATTTCTTTCGCTGAGTTCCATACGACTTGTACCATTAGAATGTATTATATACTGCCCTACCAGTACAAACTACAAATATATGCGATCATTTTGTTTTGATTTTCTTGTTGTGTGGTCATATTTCCTCTAACAGTTCTGTTGCTTTATAGTTTGTAAAGCATTTGTTTTTTGTTTTTATTTTTTATTTTTTTTATGCTGTTTGTTTTATGGTTATCAAACTATTTCGTAAAATGGTGGCAGACAATCCATAGGTTTTTCTTATACTATATATCTACTTTTGGAATTTTCTTGACATTATCAGGTTCTAATTTTTTGTTTTTATTTTATTTTATTTACTAAAAAACAAAAACCATGTTTTGTACACATGTTTTCAAAACATGTATTAAAAAAAACACGTCTTATTTTTTGTAGACAGAAAACATGAAATTGGCAACATTATTTATAGAATTGAAATTCTCAGGCTCTAATTTTTGGTCCTTTCGCAGGTTTTGCCCTATGATATACTGATGCAGGAGTTGGATGTGACAAACGTACGCGAACTTGAAGATTTTCTTATCAATGAGTGCATGTATGTGGTAGGTATTCCATCTTTGCTTCCTCATCCTGACAACATGCTAGTTTTGAGATATATTACCACCCAACAAAAATCTGCTTAGTTGCCAACAGGGCAGGGAAGAAGTGGTGGTTTACCTCTCTCTCTATCTGTCTCTCCTCTTTAAATCTATGTTTTTGGTGGTGTTCACTTGTGACCTGAGCAGAAACTATTTATTAGTTTAATAACACTTGATTCGTGCCATTTTTATTTATTTTTGGGGTTTTCAGTGAGACTTGAAATCAGTTACTTTTGGTGTTTGTGTTGTAAGGTTATCTTTTTTCATATCTAGGTATTGCTTTCCTGCATAAAAAAAGGAAACCAAAAATATAAATTGAAAAAAATTTGTGCTGATGTTTGCTTTGGGTCCTTTATAGGGCATAGTTAGAGGGAAGCTAGATCAGTTGCGAAGATGCTTCGAGGTTTGAATTCATTGTGTCCATTTTGAGTTGTATATTTAGTTATTTAATATTTTGGCATGCCTTTTATCATTTGCCATTAGTTCTTAACGTAATTGTCTGGTGGTTGTAGGTTCAATTTGCAGCTGGCAGGGATCTGAGACCCGGGCAATTGGGGAGTATGATACAAACATTAACAAACTGGTAAAATTTTTGGTTGAAATTGATTGAAATAAAATTATTTTGGTTGAACAATTGTGTATGTTGAGTATCCGAATGAGTCGTTATATTACATGGTTTTTTGCTATGTGATGGAATATCTGTTCAAAGATCTGACTGGCTTAACTGCAAACTTGATGCTGAAGTTTTTTTTTGGATACTAGATTTCGAACTATGCTGTGTTATGTGTGCACCTGTCTTTAAACATGGGTAATGAGGAATGGTTCTTCAGACAATTTAAAACTGGTGATCTAGCTTTTGAAAGTGTCTCGAGCTTTGGATGATGACCCTTCATTTGGTGTTGTACAATTATTAGTTTGCTTTACAATGTTATTAAGAATAGCTAGGTCAGTTGCATCACTAGTGGCATTGTCTCATCTCACTTAACCTCTTGGTTGGTTGTAGAAGGTTTATATTAGATTGGAACGCTTTGTCCATTGCTTAGATGCAAATGCAACACATTAGCAGTTCGTGATTGTCATATTTTGTGGCAAAACTAAAACAAAGGTTGCGAAATTTAGACTTGCATTACAAGGACTATTCATATGGGTGAGTAGTATTGAGTGAGTGGCTGCAGCTCTGCCTTTACTTTATAGGCATGGAAAAACTTCCCCTCTACTGATTGAAATTAGCTTTTTTGTCAGGAAAAGGGGTATAACCTTATAAGCTGAAGACCCTTCAGTGAGAATCCTGATGTAATGAACAACAATTTTAGTGAAGGCACAACTCCAAAGCATGATATTCCTTAGAGAGGGTACAACTTTTAATAGCCCTGAAGATCAACCTTACATTTATATTGTGTCAGACCTAAGACCATTGCAAGACATTATGTGGGCACCCCTCATACCCCAAGGACTAGTGCCACCTAGAAAATATAGAAAATAAACATGCTAGAAAAGAAAACAACAGTAATAATAAACACGAAGTACATAAATATTGTTGTGTTGAATTTTTTTCATCATTGGATATTTAATGTGTACTATTTGGGCGTTGTTGTGGTGTCTTTTCTTTTTTTTGATATTTAATCTTTTGGAAGCCCGGATGACAGATCCATTGAATTTTGGGAGTATTTGGTGATTTATAGAAAGCTGATTTACAAAGAAAATGTCTCATGTGAACCATTGTGAGTCCCAGCCCCACTAGTGTTCAAAGAGTTAATTCTGCTAGTATAATTGAAGTTAATTCTGCTAGTATAATTGATGATATTCATCAATATTGAAGAGACTTGGGAGTTCTTTAATAATTATATTAAGGGTTTAAATTTGAAAATCTTAGTGTATGGTTTATTAAGTGCACTTGGTAGTGCATGATAGGCTACCACTTAAAACTGAATTCTACTTGAAAGAGGTCTCATTTTTAAGCAGAGAAACTTATCGTATGTTAATGCCGAGTCAATTGGTTTTCAATCATTACTGTGTTTTGAGCTGAAAGGTATGGACTACAACGACAGATTGGCCTGTTTGGAAGTTAGTTATTATCTGTTCATATGTTAATTATGACAGTTTTATGTATGGATAGGGAGTTATCTTATTACAAATGCAAGAGCACCTCTGAAAAGAAAATCCCTCAGTGTCTATTATCTTGCTCTGTGATCTCCGTTATTTGAACTTATTGTTGTGAAGGAGTGCCTTTTATGGCACTTCCTGATTATGTCATTACAGTATTTAGTATTCATTTTGACTGAAAACATAGGTTGACTACATCAGACAATCTTCTTATCACAATTCAAGAGAAGATAAAATGGGCGGATTCCATGAGTGAGGTGGACAAGAAGCACAGAAAGGAAGTTGAAGAGAGGGTTGATGAAGTAAAGAAGTCAATCTCCCTCAAGGTCAGTTGAATCTGGTTTTCTCTTCATGTTGTGTTTGTGTGGTATGCCCCATGCCAATGGAATAATAGAAATAAAGTTATATATTTTCATGTGTGTTTTGATAAGTTGCCTGGTTCAAGGGTAGGCTAAAAGGTTCAAGGGTAGGCTAAAATGTACAAGAACATAAATGACAGAAATGCACTCCTATCTGCTTTCTCACAATAACCATATTTTCAGAACAGAGATTTAAAATTTGTTTTCCTCTTGGGCTTCAAGGAACAGGTCACCTAACTCTCTCTCTCTCTCTCTCTATATATATATATATATATGGAAATCAAGTGCCAATGCCCTGTTTCCATATTTGACTACCACTCCCATGGTTTCGACACTCCAATGCATTTGGCGACTTTGTTTGATCACCACCTTCATGGATTTAGAGAAGAATGTTGATGGTAACACTCCCTACTAGCTGCGTCGTTTACATTCTCATCATGGTCCTTTTTTTTTTTTTTTTTTTCCTTCTCCTTTTCCTTTTTTTTTTTTTTTTGAGTAACAAAATTTTATTAAAATGTGAAAGAGAAAGAGGACAAGAAGTCCTCATACAAAGAAAGGAAGAAGAAAAAGTAAAACAAAAACGCAAAACTCGTAACCCTAAGGATGGCAAACAGCAGCCCAATTCCTAGAGATAAAAAACAAAGGCCTCCTTTAAAAGGAGGAGGTACAAATGTCCAAAATGAGGCCAAATATTCCGCCCTATCCCACGAAGCCTCTACACTTACTTCCTTGCTTTCAAAAATTCGAAGATTTCTCTCCAATCATATAACCCAGAAAATAGCAAAAACAATGCCTATCCACATTGTTTTGGCTTTCTTGGTACTCCTAAACCCGTCAAACCGAATAAGAATCATATGCATACACTCCCGTGGAGCAACCCACTGCACATCACATAACCTCAAAAGACGCTGCCATAATACAGAAGCCACCTGGCAATGAAGAAAAAGATGATCTACTACCTCCAAATTTCTCTTGCACATCACACACCATTGAGGGCATAGAGAGTGATTAGGCCTTCTCCTCTGGAGAACATCATTAGTTGTAACACCCTTTTGAGCCAAAGACCACATGAAAAACTTCACTTTATGAGGGACACCCGCTTTTCAAATTTCTTATGAAAAAAGAATAAAGGAACCGAAGGATTATCAATAATCTTATCAAAAAATGATTTGCATGAAAAGACCTCCTGAAGAGACAAGATTTCACACCCTATTATCAGAAGACGAAGAAAGAGAAACCCCCTCGAGCACTACCAACAAAGATGCCAACTCTTTTGCCTCTCTATCATTCAAGTTTCTAATGAGATCAAAATTCCAGGAGATGGGTGCTATAGACGAATAAGCCACTAACGCTATAGACACATTTGGAGAATGAGCCCACCTGTAAGAAGGGGATAAGATCTAGAAAACAAAATATCCCCTAATCAAACATCCTTCCAAAACCGAACGTTCTCCCCATTCCCCATTCTGAATGAAAAAAAATTAGACACAAGAGAATGCAAACGAGAAATGGATTTCCACGGTGAACGATAATTGCCTCTATTAACCACATTACAATTCCTACCATTGGATTGAACACCGTACTTGTTTTTAGTAACTGAACACTATAATGACTCACTTTCAAGAGGAAATCTCCACAGTCACTTGCCCAAGAAAGCAATATTCCTAGCAATGATGTTTTCTATAGCCAAGCCACCTTTTTCCCTAGAAAGAAAAACAGTCTCCCACCTAACCAAATGAATTCCTTTACCCTCCTCACACCCTTCCCAAAGAAAATCCCTCATCAGTTTCTCAATTTTTCTTGGAATGCTAACTGGAATTTTGAAAAGGGACATGAAATAAATAGGAACAGATCCTAATACGGATTGTACCAACGTATACCTCCCTCCCTTAGACAACAAAGCTCGTTTCCATCCCTCCAATCTTTTCCTAATTTTGACAAGAACAGGTTCCCAAAAATACACCAATTTAGGATCTCCTCCCAACGGAAGCCCAGATATTTGAGAGGAAAGGAATCAATTGGACATTCCAACATACCTATGCACATGACTATCGTCCAAATTAATATCCACAACACAGCTTTTGTTAAGATTGACCTTGAGGCCCGACACTATTTCAAAAATTCGCAGAATCTTTAGCACACTCCCCACCTTACTTTCCTCTTTAGATGAGAAGAAAATAGTATTATCCACAAATTGTAAATAAGTAACACCTATCCTATCCCTTCCCACCACAAACTCCTCAATGACACCTTTATCCTTAGCTAAATCAATAATCCTACCCAACACATCAACAACTAAAATAAACAAAAATGGTGATAAAGGATGGATGCTTGGAAAAAATCCCCCGCCTTGCCATTCACAATGATTGCCATATTGCATGACGACAAGCACCCCTAAATCCACTTCCTCCATCTAACGCCAAACCCCTTCTTTTCCAAAACAAAATCCACAAAGCCCCAATCAACATGGTCATATGTCTTCTCAAAATTTACCTTAAGTACAATACCCTCCTTACATAGTCCCCTATACTCCTCCACAACCTCGTTAGCTACTAAGACTACATCCAAAATTTGCCGACCCTGCACAAATGCACCTTGTGCCGAAGAAATAGTTTCCCCCAGGACAACTCTTATTCTCCTAGAAAGCACTTTAGCTAAAATCTTATAAAGAGATGTGACCAAGTTAATGGGTCTAAAATCCCCAATCTTGATCGACTTCTCCTTTTTGGGAATTAGACAAATGAAGGATGCATTGGTGCACAAATTAACCCGCCCACTCTCAAAGAACTCAGTAAATACCCTCATTAGATCCCTTTTTACAATTTCCCAACAATCCTGAAATACTGCCATTGAAAAACCATCTGGGCCTGGAGCCTTATTTCTGTCGCACTCAAATACAGCCTGTCTCTCATCATGGTCTTTTAGACCCACTCTAGTGGACCTAACTATTTTGTTACATGGACAGTTATGTTTGTAAGTGTCGGATTCATCTAATTCTCATTTCCAAGGATGCCAGACATGGCTTAAATTCCACATTTCTTAAATTCCTCTTGCATTTGTTTAGGATAAAATGGTTTTTACGTAGTAACATAAAGGCCTTTTTTTGGGGTTTTGTATGCAGATGAGAGTCTTATACATAGTTTCATAGTATACCTACTATTTAAAGATATTTGTTAGGTGCATGTCCAACTAGACATTTTAGAAACATATCCTATCACCTAATCTAAATGTCTAGTGTCTGATGTGTGTGTAGCTCAGTGGGCTAATGCGTGATGTTCAAACTCCAAGCTGGCTTGTTTCCACCATATTCAGGGGAGGAGAATAGAGAGGATAGCCAGTGTGTTTTGGACCTATAGTCTGCATTCTTTTGATTTTTATTAAAAGCAGTCAGGCTGGCTGGAAGCTAGCAACTATTATCTCAGGAACCCTTTTTCTTTTTTTTTTTTTGGTGAATTTCTAGTAGTTATGGTTTTATCAAAACATAGATGTGAAAATTAGTCTTAATTGAATTGCTGGGGTATGTTTGTCGATGTGTCTTACTTACGTTGTGGCAGAAGTTAAACACTGTGAGCAGGCCGACATTGACTTCCGAGGGCATGAGGAGATCTACTCTGAACCTGGTGGAGTGATGGACTACGAGGAAGACCGAAGCCGACCAAAGAGGTAACACATGACAATCCAGACTCCCCATGTAATTGATTTTCAGTGATGTAATGTTTCAATGTAATTGGGAATATGGCATGTTACAGCTACAATTTGGTTGCTTTATTGTCCAAACTACATTTATTTAGAGAACTGTCAGTATTGTCGGGTTTTTCTCTGCCTACTTAACCATATAGATAGTATCATATAGATCGGCATAAAATCACCTTATGAAGGGGAAAGTCTAATTACAAATTAAATTGACATATTGGGAAATTGACAATCTCTACTAAGAAGATGGAAACACATGTATTTGAGACGCTTCATTTCGTTTGATGAGTAACTTGTAAAATTGCAGGAGGCGACATCCAATGGCTTGAAGAAAGAGAATTGAATCCATAGAATTGGTTGTCTGCCAACTATTGCCGTTTTTTTGTTCGTGGCATTCCAACAACACTTGATTGCAGATTTTGGAGAGACACTCGTCTCTTTCGAATTTGAACTTTCCTGTTAATTTTGAACTCAAATATTTGACAGTTAGTTTGTATTGGAACCATATCATCATTATTCGTTTTGAGTCAACAAAGATTATATTGGATTTGATAGTGCGGCTTAGAAAGTTATATCGCTAATATGCAAAGCGATAATTTCAGTTATTGTGCTTTATGATGTTGCACTTAAAAATCCTACTTTATTTATTTATGGAATTAACTTTTGCAATGGATACAAAATGCTCGTGTCCCATCTTGATGCTTGCCATGACATTAAAAATGTCGGTTCTCATGGTTCTGGATATTTTTTCACTTAAAATGGAAGGGTAGCGATCCTCCGTTTGGTTCTCACAGGTGGTTATGTACAATATGTGCTCAAGTGGATAATATATGGAGCATTTGGTGACTGTTTGCATAGTATCTGTTAAATAATTTTGGCTTCTTTATGGCTTTGAAATGCCACTTTCTGCTCTAAATAGTAAAAGGATGACAAAGTTAGTTGAGTTAGTTCTTATCTCCATGACAGTTATGGCTATAATCCTTTACATGTGGAGATTATCTGGGGGGTCGGGAACACCAGCGGGACTGTATATTTGTCCCAATTAGATGTGTTTAGACATTCATTTTGTTTCTAATTTCTCAGAAAATGTCCCTAATTGTGTGGGGAGTACTTGTCCCAAACTTTTTTTTTACAAACTGACATGGTGCGTAGTAACAAAGTCTTGGAATTTGAAATGGGATCAACTGAAATTAAATGATACGAACAACTATGATATGCCGCGTCATCAGTTTGTAAGAAAAATTTGTTTGTATAGCATTATTTTTCAGTTTTATGGATAAGCAATCATTTGGTTGAATTAATTGCGAGAAAATGGAAAATTGTGAGTTTATGACGCACAAGACGCAATGCAGAATCATATTTTAAATGGTACCATGGTTTTGTGCAACATTGATATAAGAATCAAATCCATAACTCATTGCCAATTTGTAGCGGTTTTCCACTTGCATTTTAGGGTTAAAAAAGGGTTATGATTATTTATGCAACTAGGAGTTGAGAGAGAGAGAGAGAGCACCAGAGAATTAAAAGAGAAAGGTGGTGATGGTAAACAATCTTCTTATTAGATACATCAAACTTGTAGCTCGAGAAGTGTTAAAACCTATCACCTACTTCACCCACTAAACCTAACCCACTACACCACTACCACCTCACCTACTCCACTAAACCTAACCCACTACACCACTACCACCTCCACTTTACCTACTCCATCTACCACCTACTCTTCTATATATATAGGAATCATTGTAACAATCAATAAATTAATTAATAAGACATACAATTTATCTCTATCAATATATTTTTACATGGTATCAGAGCAATAAGATTTAGGCCTATACTCCTTTCTTTCCGGCGGGCAGCCGGCCGGCAACCTTGCCTTCGCTGCCCGCGGGAGTTTTTCAACACATATCACAAACACATACCTTGACTCCGCTGCCACAAATTCCATAACCGAACCTCCTCTTCCATCACGGTTACATGGCAACACCGTATATGAGATCTGCCCTGTGTGCTCAACCAACCAGCTTGCGCGACCTACGCACCTCGTGTCTGTCGCCTCCAGCCTGGCCATTATTTCCAGCCACAACTCCGCGACTGAGCCACCCCCACCTGCAACCTCACTCGCCTCGGCTGCTTCTCTCTTTCTCTGTCAATGTTCAACCATACTCAGGTAGTCCCGCCAATTTCGCAGCCTACACGGCTGTTCTCAACCCCCATGATCGGATCATGGGCCTGGATTTGCCTTCTGGTGGTCATTTGACTCATGGGTATTACACCTCTGGTGGGAAGAAGATCTCTGCCACCTCGATTTACTTCGAGAGTTTGCCTTACAAGGTGGATTCAAGTACTGGGTATATTGATTATGATAGGTTGGCAGAGAAAGCAATGGATTTTAGACCCAAATTGATCATTTGTGGTGGGAGGTTTAGCTCTCTCAACCTGCTCTCTCTCCCTCTCGGAAAACACTACTGCACTCAACGCATTTCTCTCTCTCTCACTTTCCCACTAGTCAAGTTAAAAGCCTCTGAATTCGGAGCCCCATCAGTGAATGCCACTTCGGGCTGAGTAAGACTCTGGATTTAGAGCGCCCTTCGTGGATCTCACAATTGGCTAAGTTAAAAGCCTACAAATTCAGAGCCCCATCAGTGAATGCCACTTTTGGGCCGAGTAAGACTCCTGATTTGGAGCGCCCTTCGTGGATCTCAAGAATGGCCAAGTTAAAAGCCTCTGAATTCGGAGCCCCATCAGTGAATGCCACTTTGGGCCGAGTAAGACTCTGGATTCAGAGCGCCCTTCGTGGATCTCACAATTGGCTAAGTTAAAAGCCTACAAATTCAGAGCCCCATCAGTGAATGCCACTTTTGGGCCGAGTAAGCTCTGGATTCAGAGCGCCCTTCGTGGATCTCAAGAATGGCCAAGTTAAAAGCCTCTGAATTCGGAGCCCCATCAGTGAATGCCACTTTGGG